ATATATATATATATATATATATATATATATATATATATATATATATAAAAAGAACTGTCATGTAGTATCTGAAAAATACTGCTGAGTTTTACAAGAAAACAGATGTTACTAGGGCACCCCAAATCCCTCACTGATGTGAACCCCACCTCTAGCATTAAAGCAACTGTGGTTTTGACTGTTAAAAAGCTGTACCCCTGAGCTTGAACACCAAGAAACATTCTGGAGGCATAAGCCCACTGTTGGTCTAGCCATTAATAAAAGACTCCTATACTTTTGATTGGTTTAATCATGGTTGTCAGTGGCTATCTCTTGTGGATCATTTCAAGGTCACTGGTCATTTGGGAGAGCACCTGCCGCAGCTTAGACTCCTAAGTCTCCATCTCCTGATGCCAACAGTTCCTGAAACAAACACAGAAAATTAGGTGGGTCTGGTCAGCAAAGTGAGGACCCTGCACTGCTCACTATGGGGAAGTGGGGCACCCACTACAAGGTTTACTACAAGGTTTACTGTTTGAGCAAATGCAAGTTCCAGGCCTTTCCCCACTGTAAACAGCAGGCCCTTCCTTTGCGGGGCTGTGGACTTGGGGCTTCAGGAAACTTTCTAATGCCTGATAGTGCTCGTTGCTAATCTCAGAGACACAGGAGGCTGAGGCAGGTTCATTGATTGATTTCAGAAGTTCATGACCAACCTAGACAACTAGCTATGACCCTTTCTCTAATTAATTAATTGAAATTTAAAAAATTAAAAGAACCCCTTGCAAATAACCTAACACTGGCTTGCCTTTACTATCTGTCTCTTAATCTGTAGGTCTTTCATCAACAAAAACAATACCAAGTTCATTCGTTGGCTGGCAACTGGGTGAAAATCTTAGACTCTCAGTTTTTAATACATTACAGAATTTAAAATATAAGTATTTTTGTTATTTGTTTTTTGCTTGTTTGTTTCTACCATGCTGGAGATCAAACCCAGATCCATTGTGTTGCAATGCAGCCAAGGGGACACCAGCAGAAGCCAATATGGACCTCCCTAATCTTCGACTGTTAGCTTCCCCAACTGTGAGGTAATAAACATCTTCTGCAGAAAGCCTAGCTTCAGGTTTGTGTTATAGCGCCAGAAAACAGACTAATGCAGGGGAGCTGCTGTCTCCTGTTCCTGAGCAGAGCTCCTAAAAGCCTCGCTATAACCTGAACTTGGGAACTCTGGGTGAAAGAAGCAGCTTACGTTATTCTGAACAAGTCCTTTCTGTCCACACCTGAGTTTGGTTAGTGGGTGACTTGGGAAGGCCTCCACCAAATAGGGGACAGCTCTCTGAAGAATGAACCATATGGCTTGAGGGTAAGAACTTCCAACCTCATTCTCTGGTCTCCTGGAAAAGAAAAGAGGGTGTGAAGAATGACTTAACCATCAATAGTCAGTTATTTCATGAGTCAGACCTGCACAACAACACTGCCAGAAAACTCAAAAGGATGGGGCTTGGCCAGCTTCCTAGTAGTGAACAATAATGTGTTCATTAAGTGAGATAACCCAGGCCCTGAGAGACAAACTCTCCGTTCTCTCTCATATGTGGAGCTTAGCTTTGAATTTTTATATTTCTGTACTGAAGTATGAGCAAGTGTCTCTAGGAGCCAGGAAACAAGAGTTTCTCACGTGCCCATGTGTTGAACATTTGGTCCTCAACCTGTGTCATTTTTGAGAAGTGATGGAATGTTTAGGAGGTGGGACTTACTTCCTGACCACCATGAAGTAAACAAATCTCCTCTATCATTGCTTTATCATAATGAACTTTATTGGCCTAGACCCAAAGCAATGGGTCCAAGAGACCATCATTGAAACCTTAGACTCAAATAAAGCTGTCCCTTTAAAAAAAAAAAAAAAAAAAAAAAAAAAGAAAGAAAGAAAGAAAGGATCATTTCCGGTATTTTGTTGAAGTGACTAAAAGCTGACTAATTTATTTATTTTTAATATGGTAGCCACCAGCCTCGCGTATTGACTGGTACTTTAAAGATGACTGAAGTAGCTGAGAAAATCCATTTTATTGTAGTTAATTCTATTTTCAGTTAAATAGCTGTCTTGTTTCCTTTCCAGCTGGACAGTGAGTGACACTATGCAGATAAGGATATCCAACGCAGTGAAATCTGCCAGGCTTTAAAGTGCTGAGTCTGCTCTACCCACACCCTTCAGAATGCAAAAATCAACACAGCGAAACACCAGAGCAAAGAATATTATTTTCCGAACAAAGATGAAATAAAATTCAGAACAGTAAGCAAGCTGGGAGGCTTGGCACATGCCTGTAATGGAAGCTGATCAGGAGGCCGAGGCCAAAGAGTCACCTGAGCCCAGGAGTTCCAGAGCCGCCTGAGCAACACAATGGGAGACTGAGCTCGGAAGGAGAGTTCCAGGACAGCTAAGGGCTACACAGAGAAAGAAACCCTGTCTCACAGAGACAGACAGAGAGACAGAGTGAGAGAGTAAACTCCAGTTCTCATTTGTCGACATTTACTGCTGAGCATGGTTGAAGAGCTTTGAACATCACATTCATCGTGTTTGAAAAGACAGGCAATCAAGATCCATTTCTAATCTTGTCTCCCATTTTCAGACGTGAATGGAAGACTCAATTCCCTCAACTTCAATTAAGGAAAGCCAGGGTAGGCTGCTGATCACCCTGCCACTTTTGGAAGTAAAAAGAAGCCTGGAGGGAATTTAGCTGTAAACCCAGCCTCAGTCAAGAAGCTAAATCTCCTGGGCCCATGGCAGCAGCAGCAGTTGCATGGAGGGAGGAAGAGAGGGCCGGGAAGGATAGGGCTGTTTCTCAGTCACCTCCGTAGCCATCCTCTTGCTGCTTTGTTCCCTCTGGATCAGGTTGGAGGACAAGGAGGGGCTGGCGACAGAAGACATGATTCCTGGCTCACTGATTGTTCTAAGAATGCTTTGTGATTTCTGAACCTCATAGATACTCAAGGCAGGTAAGTCTCTTTGGGCCACCTGGTAGGAACCTCCAGAGGGACACTCTGGGCCATTTAAACTAACTCCCGAGACAGGAAGAGCCCTTTGCCCCTTTGCCTCCCTTGTCTCCTTCTGACTTCCTGGTAGCCTGCTTTGCTACACTTTCCTGTAGGGTCTTGCTGACCCACAAGACTGGCCCTGTCCTTTTGGTCTGGAGTCATGTGTTCCCAGTAGGCTCCCACGCGTTCCTCGTCTGTGTTCACTTTAACAACTCAGAGTTTTTCTGATCTCAACACAGCAGCATCTCCTGCCTTGGCTGAGCAAGCACTTACTCACCCATTTCCCCCCTCCTCAGTTTTGCTGCTTTTTAGATTTTTGAAGTAAAATACTAATCCATCACTGTGTGTCTCCGAGTGGTCGTGAAGCTCAGCTCTCCCTGTAGAGTCAGCACTTCATGCCTTCGGATTCACAACCAACCACACTTTAAGCGTACTGTTGAGAAGTGCTACATTTAAAGGAACACATACAGACTTTCCTCTTGTAACTGTTCCCTCAACAATCAGTGTAACAACTATTGCCATAGTGCTGGCATTTTTGTGGGCACTATAAGTAATCTGAAGGGTGTGCACAGGCTCTAGGTAAATACTACTCCGTTCTACTTAAGAGCCTTCTGCATCTAGGGGTTTGGGTATCCGCACACTACCCTACCACTCCCAAGTCCACGACAGCGCCTCAACTAGAGAAACAGCTGCTTTACCTCCTTTTTCATGGCCCGTGTGTCCTTTACCTGCGTCCTGTCCTTCCTCATCACCTGCTATTTACCCTTTCTTATCCTCCCTTCTACACTATACTGGACCCACGTGTGAAACTCTAACGGCATAGAGCAGGGATTCTCAACCTGTGGGTTGAGACCCCCCATGAGGCTGACTGACCATTTCATAGGGGTTGCATATGAGCTATGTCAGATGTTTCCATTACAACACATAACAGTGGCAAAATTACAGTTATGAACCATAACGCAAATGTTATGGTTGGGGGTCAGCACATGTGAAAAACTGTATTAGAGGGTCCAGCATTAGGAAGGTTAAAAGCCACTGGTCTAGATGACTACTGAGAGGGATACATTTGAGTCTGGCTAGTCTCAGTTCATGATATGTTTAGTCTCTTTTTTTAAACATAAATCCCGATTAACACAAACTCGTCACAATTTTTGCTCTTACACGTTCATGTGTGTATGTGTGGGTGCATATCTGTACACCTGAGTGCGGAGGTCACAGGTGTCTTCCCCAGTTGCTCTCCACCTTGTGCTTCCGGTGTGGTCCAGGAATTTGTTTTCAGCTCCCCAGCACCAGGACTGCATACACAGGCCGCTGAACTGGCCGTTTATTTATATGTTTCCTGGGAATGCAAACTCAAGTCCTCACGGTCAAGTGCCGAGTGAGCACTTCACCTACTGAGCGTCTCTCCAGCCTCAAAGAGATTTTTCTTTCCCTTTCTTCCTTCCTACCTTTCTTTCTTTCTTTCTTTCTTTCTTTCTTTCTTTCTTTCTTTCTT